CCAATGTGTTTCACTGATCCCAAGTACCTCTAGGTTGTATCTTCTCATTTCTGCAGCAATCTGGAAGGCTCTTCCGGTGTCCCACATTGTACGAACATTCCATGTACCTAAATAAATGGTTGCTCTGGTTGTCAGAAGGGGCATCGGCCTCATAACTTCCGAAGGGATTCGGCTTTCATCATGAGGCGTCATAATTCTTCTAAATGAAGATCTTCTGACTCCCAGGGCAGAGTTTAAAAGGTTTGAATAATTTTTTCTGGTTAGCGTTTTTTTAGCGAGTTAGTTTTCTACGGGATGGGGACGCTAACCCCATGCCCAACCCTCCTCCTTTATCCGGGCTTGGGACCGGCAGTAGCCCCCGGAGGGACTCCAGGCGGAGTTGTTGGCCCTACTATATTCCCCACCAGAATTAACGGCCATTTGAATCGGTAACAAACACGGTGAGGGTAATCGCACGCCGTAGGTCTCCAGAGGATGAGGAAATCATTCGGATATAACTGAATTGCAAGACAACTGGATATTCATCGACAGCAACTGATCGGGAAATAGCGAGTAATGATAAATTTGGGAATTTCGGATTTGTCGATGCGCCTATAAGTATGATTCGCAGGTTAGTTAAATGTTTGGCTATTTACATTGACGATAATAAGGAACAGTTTAACATTTTAAAGCTCTGCCGAGTCATATTAAAATAAATTAATTTGAAAAGTGATTGAGTTTCTCAGATATCCAGCTTTCAGTTTGCCGCAAGAGTACGATAAGTATACTATCAACTGATACTGACGTTAGAACTGCCATTGACTTAAGTTGGTCTGTGTCGTTGACAGTTTACTGTCCATATGTGTTGAATTCCATTTACGTCTATATTTAGAAGGTTCACTGAAAGTACAGACGTATAATGGTAAAACAGTGATTTTATCATATGAATTTATGAATCACTTTGTAGTTAGAGTCTGTAAATCTGATGATTGCTAATGTAATCAGTATGCGTCGTAGACCACAGATCAAGAGTGAAAGTGACTCGACGAAATTATCTCCACAAGATGAAAAGTGGAGAGTGCCGTATATAAGTTCAATAAATTAACTGAAGAATATCGAAGAGAACATAAGAAATCAAGGGTTTTACTCTGGACTCATGCCAATGTTTGTATATATATGTTTGTATATGTTTGTATTCACACATCCAAGTGTTACATTAGCAATGCACAAACGGACGTTTAGCGCAACCTTTAATATATTCATGAACGATGTTATTTCGCTGTGATATTATGACACACCTCAACTACTGTGACTATTCAATTCCAACTTCCTTCTTTCTGTTTCCCCGTGGCTGTAATCTAACAAATGATATCGGCTGATCAATCGGCTGTTCAAATACTCGATTGTCTAAAACCTGTCTAGCTCAGTTGGTGGTCTCATTGCATTATCATTAGCACGAACCATCAGTCTACACAGTCAAGCGAGTCTCCTGCAAAATGTTAACGACATTGTTGTCCCTATCCCAAAATAGAATAGCATTTTGCACCAATGTCATTGGCATGAGTCCAGAGTAAAACCCTTGATTTCTTATGTTCTCTTCGATATTCTTCAGTTAATTTATTGAACTTATATACGGCACTCTCCACTTTTCATCTTGTGGAGATAATTTCGTCGAGTCACTTTCACTCTTGATCTGTGGTCTACGACGCATACTGATTACATTAGCAATCATCAGATTTACAGACTCTAACTACAAAGTGATTCATAAATTCATATGATAAAATCACTGTTTTACCATTATACGTCTGTACTTTCAGTGAACCTTCTAAATATAGACGTAAATGGAATTCAACACATATGGACAGTAAACTGTCAACGACACAGACCAACTTAAGTCAATGGCAGTTCTAACGTCAGTATCAGTTGATAGTATACTTATCGTACTCTTGCGGCAAACTGAAAGCTGGATATCTGAGAAACTCAATCACTTTTCAAATTAATTTATTTTAATATGACTCGGCAGAGCTTTAAAATGTTAAACTGTTCCTTATTATCGTCAATGTAAATAGCCAAACATTTAACTAACCTGCGAATCATACTTATAGGCGCATCGACAAATCCGAAATTCCCAAATTTATCATTACTCGCTATTTCCCGATCAGTTGCTGTCGATGAATATCCAGTTGTCTTGCAATTCAGTTATATCCGAATGATTTCCTCATCCTCTGGAGACCTACGGCGTGCGATTACCCTCACCGTGTTTGTTACCGATTCAAATGGCCGTTAATTCTGGTGGGGAATATAGTAGGGTCAACAAAATATCACCAAACCCTAGCCAACTCATCCTGCAGTCATGTTGAACAGTTCACTGATCCTCCTCAATGTCAATAACAACTAACGCGCATTAATTAATCGCTCGCCATGGACTGATTCGTGAGGTATTGGACACAATCTCTTCCTTGTGCCTACTCTTACCAATACATTTCTGTAGTAATGTCTTTTGTGTTGTACGGTCTTCAGAGCAGCCATCGTACCTTGGTACGAAGAAAGGGTAATCCATGTTAGGTGAGAACCACGAGGTTTGACCTCGATGGTAGCTGGTTATTCACACAATTTCCGTGTAACTCGACTAGGCCCCTAATCATTCGACACATATCATCTAGGTTATTGAACTACAAGTTGTAGTGGCATTGGACAATAGCCACACAATCCACAAAGCTGTGAACACGAGACTACTCAGAAAATAGAAATTCAATATTTAACCCGGGGAAATACCTAACAATGAATAAGGCGCGAACATTGAATTGAATGGACTAGAGTTGATCGAACGGCATGGCTCGGCCATGCAGGCGTGGTCTCTGCTGAATGTTACCTTATATCTTCTATTCATATTAAATATATTGTTCTTTCTCTAGCCTAACCTTGTTCTACATCATGTATTGGTAATTGATACGATACAGTCAGTTGGTGTAGTCGATGGTGTGACTCCCACGTAAGATCTTATAGATTAGGCAGTTATATCATGACAAATCTACAAATTTAGGGTTAGGTCTATTATTAGAGCAGTACTAATATCATAGTAGACCATAGTTCTACAAAGTCAGTGCAGTAGTACGACCTTTGTAAGTACTTCTGCTATTTTTCGATCGACTGCACTTATTAGTGGCTGACAGGTTACTGAAGAAATATTCCGGAAGATTGGAGATTACCCGGTTCTCAGTAATAAGACGAACGGCTCATGCAGCAAGAAGAAGTATATTGACCAATGTTTCGAAATACAAGTGAATAGCGTTCCACTAAAATACGATTGTCAAGCAACTAAGAGTTTCTTCTGCTTATTAATACGAACAAAGTATTTATCATTTCTTAATGCGTTTCTTAACCTTATTCAACACAATTGTCACGATCAAATAAGACGGAACTATGGCAGTTCAGTAAAGAGTGTTAAGCTTGAACATCCAGGTTTGTCAGCCATATCAGTGTAGATCAAGCATTGTCAATATGGGAATGTAACACCGGGCTTGATGTTGTGAACCTATCAAACTTGTAGTCTTTATGTGAGTTCAGCGGTATCTATTGATTTAAGTTCCAAACAAAGAATCATTTGATCATTTTCGTGGGACACCTAAAAAATGATTGTGGGAGAGGACTTTGTATAAAAATTAATTATGGTGCAGTAATACCGTCTAACTACTCCAGCTGTATAAAACTCAGTACAACAGTATCTACCTGGAGGAATTTCATTTTGGGATTGTTATAACACTGGGAGTTTAGGTAAGCATCCCCAAATGGGTAAGCTTGTAAGTCTTTTCATGATCTTCACGACCATAAACATCAAAGCAATAGATCCCAAATTGAAAGCTTCAACCAAGATTGCCACTTTTACAAACGGATTGGGTAACACTGGTTTACAGTCGGCAGGCAGTTCACCTTCGGCAAGCAGATAACTGAAGAGAGAGCTGATAAAGGGGTGTAATAGATTTATTCATGAGACACATCGTTCCTTATATCTTGAATACGATGGCAGCTATCTTAAAGCTGACTTTTTATCCGGGTGATTTTCAATAAAATCTTATTCAAAGAGCCTTGAGTACTGATAGTTACCCTTCGTTTTATCCATGGGAGATGCCAGACTAGTGGTTGTAATAGATCGTTATAGGGGATCGAGGAACAGAACAGTTGGAGCACGAGGTTATCTTTTCAAACCCACTAAGTTTTCAACATTCAGTATAGAATAATAGGAAATATAATAAAATAAGGAAGTAAACAAATACTGGGGCTATAATGTTTCGACATCATCAAGATGTTTTCTGCCAACTCTTAACAACCCAATCTAAGTTATTACAAGTCTCATAGTTTTGTTTTCTTACCACTGTGACTATATGAACGATTCCTCCACTCTCCCACATTGCCCGGATATTCTGTATCTCTATGTTCGCTGTTTCTCTGGACTTCACAAAAAGTATTGGGTTCGTGGCTTTCGGAGTTTTCCAGGTTTTATGAAGACTCTGTAACTCTCAGACCAGAGTTTAAAATTGTTCTAGTGGTTCTTTCTGGCTGCGGTTTAGCGAGACTTCTTTTAAAGAAGCGGAGCGAATGATCTTAATTCCACTCTTCTTCCTTTATTCGGGCTTGTGACCGGTGGTGTCTCCTGAGGGATTTTAGGCACAGTTTATAATCTTGTTTAGCTCAGCATCGTTCTGAAGTTGGCCAGACAGAATCTTATAATTTTGACGACACGTTTTCCAGAATACCGGATAGATCCTTTATTAAGAAGGGCGTATAGTAACAGAAGCAATAAAGCAGATGTAAAGGTGGGTGGGACTGCTAAGTATAACTTTATATAGACTATGAGATATTAGTGATATTGTGGCTGATTGAGGATGTACTTTGTTACCTAAGTTTATTAACACTAAGAAAACCCAGATTAAACTGAAAACCTATGTAAATTCGTATTCTAGGAAATATTAACTACCATACATTCAATAAATTCAACTAGTTAAAACAATCTGAAATTCTGCAGGCAATCAAAGGTTGCGCTACTTACATATGTTAGGGGTTATGTCGACGCAGTTGGTTACTAGTTTCCAAAAAGGGTGACACTGGAGTTTATCCTCAGAGCATCCAAAACTTTTTGTATCAGTAAGGTCAACGTCTGTTTTCCGAGAACAACTGATAAATTTACCGACAGTAATGTTTAAAACATAACTTGACGTGAATTCGTAGGGAAAATAGACCTTTTGGTGTTATTGTAAGTGGAAAGTAGACTGTATGATGTTAAATTAAGCTAAGTTTAGGGCGTTAATTTCGAGAAGCCTGTTTTAATAGGGAGATTTAGGATTAAATATCTCACTATTTTTATCACGTGCTGCAGCTATTATGGGGAACAAGAAAACAGTTTGGTACAAGATCCCCTTTATTCGCACCGAATTTCCTTATTAAATGCTAGTTAAGTTTCCTCATTTTTTTGAGTTGCTGTAGGAATGAAGATAAAGTTGTGTTAAATAATTACTTGACGTCAACGTAAAACAATAACTAATCATATACGGACGAATACAATAACTATATCCCCTAGACTGTCTCTGGGCACGTTATACTAAAGAGCGAAGAGGCATTGTCAAGTGATCCTCCACTTTATTTTGAGATCTATTTCTGCTGGTCTTTTGAACCATATGTTCTTTCACAGGTTTTCTTTAGTCTCCTGATGTGCATTTTAAATAAAGGCTTTGTCATTTATCTATTCGAGACATTCAAAGTGTTACTATCTACGTTTCTGGCTAACAATGTCACTTACTATTTTTAGGTTCAAACCTAAAATATGGTAACCAGTGGAAGTAGTCTTGAAAACAGATTCTTCCAAATCAGGGTGATAATAGTATCACGTAGAAGTGGTGAAAGTTGACACATTTAGCTAACAGTTCAGGCGACACTTTAGGTTGTAGTTTTAGACAATGTTACATCCTTCAGTGTGTAGTAGTACCTATCCCTTCTTTAACTTTTATTACTAGGACGTAACAGAATTCGCCGGCCTTTATTTATGTCTTGAGATGTAAACGACTGGTTAGTTCGGAAACTTCTAGTTTTATATTGATATGGAGTTGGGGGAATAGATTTTTAACCTGTCAATCTCCCACCAAACTTTGTATACTAAAACTTCAAAGGCAAACCAATACATACTCGGTGTATAGTAATCCTATAGGGCTCAAAACTTAATATTAGCATTTGGGCATGCAAACTGCTTTCATTCATTACACATGTCATATTCATATTTTTCCATTGGCAAAATTTACTCTTAGAGTTCAGGAAGGTGAATTGGCGACATTCATAATGCTGTTTAATTACAAACGCGTTAATTTTTACATCATCTGTTAAATATTGGTGGTGGTATAGAAAATGAATGTTGATGGTGTGATTATTGTTACTTTGTAATATAATCTTAGTCATTCCAGAGTCACTGAAAACGGAAATAGAAGAAATAGCTCTAAAATCGGTAAGTTAGTTTGTTTACTTACTCACCAATGTAGGGAATTGATGTACGTGATTATGCTGCTCAAGTTGAATCAGAGTTAACGAAAATAGAAGAATCACTTATAAAGACATGTAAATTTTATACATTTATTAGGTATACATAGATATAACGGTCAGTCCTGAAGTAGCTAGTTTGCATAACCAAATTATCTCATGTGATGCTATCCTAGAGGTTTGTTTCTTATTTCTAATGTATACTTCCATCATAATTAAGCGGATAGAAAACATACTGACTAATTTTCATGAAGATTTGGGTGCCATTAGCACAGAAATCCAGGATTTGCAAAGTAAATCTCTACAAATGAACACTCGGTTGCAAAACAGACAGGTATGTTATTGCACAGTAATGAGTTAATTTTCTGTTCACTAAAATTATTATTTTTACTCATTTTGTATATTTTGGAGTGTGTTAATCCTAATGGTAAAACGAAAACATTGGTAAATACAGTGTTTCTGCCGACCACGAAATATAATAAATGATAGGCATTGAATGCTCAAATATATCTAACGTGTTTGATAAATTGATATCTATAGCACTATATATAATCTTAATGCGAACCTCGACCTCACTTCACTTATGAGGATTTATAGACCTCGGTTGTATTGAATCATATTTATTCCCTTGGTTGGTATCTAAGTTGCTAAGTAAAGTTATTGTCTGGGAATTTACCTCTGTGTTTTGTGTCGATCTTGATTTAGGTTTTTCTTTAGGTGTCTAGATTTAAAGAGCACGCCTGCATAATGAGCCTAAGGGGATTCAGTTGATTCACCTTGGAAAATACTTTAATACGAATAGGCGGGTTTAACTAGCTAATAACAGAGTAATACTAAGATTAGTTAAATTATCACACAAATTATGTTCTATTCCTAAGTGTTTTATAGCTTTATCGAAAAAGAATTCATTTAGGGAAAAGAGCCAGAATTATTCATAAGTGTACTGTTCTGTATACAAATCATATTTTAAAATCCTTATCAATAACTTCTGAAGCTTTAGACGGCCAGTAAGACTTTCCATTATCAACTTTGATCAATTTTCCTCATGATCAGTATTCAAAAAAGTGAATTCAATGCACAAATATACGATCAGTTAGCTAGTTGTTTAGTCAAATTGGATGAATCGTATCACGTATATAATCTATAAGCCATGTTAAGGTACTATTGACACTTTGAACATTGTATAGTTTCGTTTCAATTGATTTGTTTGTAATACATACAATGATTATATTTAAAGTAGACAGTTTTCTATGGTAACATACAAACATGTCCATCTCTTGCGCTTACGGTATTATGTTCATCCAAACGCTCAGTAAGAACACTAAAGTAGACGGTAACTCTTGAGCCACTTGCTTATGTAAAGAGATGATACTTTCAAAGCTTACAGACTTATAATTTCATTTTTGTCACATTCTGACAAGCCAATAAGTCACTTGATTTTCCCTCACTGATTTATTTCTCCCTAGGTTGTTCGGAGTAATTTAAGCCAGTTTCTTTCAGATATGGCCATTCCTGAAGAGCTTATACGGTAAGCATTTCGACCACATCTATAAAGTTACTTTGTACTGTTGTCCATGACGTTGGCTTATTAATTCTTCAGAATTAGTTTTATTCTGAAGTTATATCAGAATTCTCTTCTTGTTTTTAAAGCTCATTGGCAAAACTTGTTTGTCCCACTTTGAAAGCTGCCACCTGTTTTTAATGGTAAACTAATTAAATAATGTTGAGTACTAAAAACAAGTAATGTTTTAGCTAGCAGCCACTTTCAGTTAGTCTCTTCAATCTGAACAGTTATAATCCTTTCGATGCTGGGTTGTAACGATCATTGTGCATCGCGTCCAAAAGTTCCGAATAAATCAATTATTTAACAATATAATTCGGTCATTTTTTTATTATTTGAACATAAATATTGGTACAAAGGGGCACCGAATACGTATGCGCCACACAAGTCACTTGATTTGTGTGTGGGCTGTGATACTGCCCGGTTGCCTATACCGAAGCAGGTGGTTTTCTTAGGGGGCCACTCTCTGAGTCTTCGACCTAAAGGTCTGATCCACATGGCAGTGGAGCAAAGTAAGGAGATGCAGTCCCATAGTAGCCGGTGACCAGTGATTGGTTCATACTCCACTTGTCCCTTTAGGATCCTGGAGCCTATGTGCACCACTGGTTTGGAATCAGGGTTTTTCAACTCCCCTAGGTAGACTCTCAGTATCCACCAACCGGTTAGATCGCCAGACATTCGCTTTTCGTCCTTCCAATTTTGTGAACAACACCCCCACCACGAGAAGGCAGTGAGTAGGAATTCCCTGGCAGTAGCCGTATACGTGTGACCATGTGAGAGCATTTCGAGAGCGAAAACGGACTCTCCCCACCCTCTGCCGTGCGAGGGAATTTTGGGGCTAATAATTCATTCAGTCACTCCTACTGACGTACCTAGTATGGTGAAATCCAAAACAAAACAAATGTTCCAGCCGTTATTTCTGGATTGGTTTATCATGATATGCAAACCCAACCACCACATCAAAGTAGTATCTACAATCGGGATTTCATTATTTGTTTGTTATTCTGCTTGTGATAAATTAACCTGTGTATAGAACTAGGTTCAATGATAGTTAGGTCTAGTCAATCCTAAACTTGTATGCAATAACTATTCACGGCAGCAAACGATAGGTAAAAAGTAAACTGAATTGGACAGGCATTTATCGTGAAGATATTAGTATCAATTGCTTACTAGGTATGTAAATAACCAGACGAGTCCAAATGTTATCTCTTCATTTAACCGTTTGATACTAGACGTCGAATTAACCACTCAATTGATCTGATCATACGTTTGTTACAGGTTCAAAAATTAGATCATGAATATTTATATCTTTGCAAGCTGGATGAAAGTAATCTAATAGAAATTATTCCATATACCGAGTACCATCAACTGTTTTCACTACTCTCACTGTTGGGCTAAGAAAATATGTCAGGTAATCGCTAACACGCCAACTTCAGAGGTCACACCAGTAAGACCATCATGTCTTCCTTGCATCTCAAAGGAGAAAATTTAGTTACTAGTGTTATAATCGTAAAAGTCCTGTTTACTGCAGTTGAAATGCAAAATGCTCAGCTTGATAAGTCTTTAGAGCAATTTTGGTCCCATCGACACTTCTACTCAGTTTAGTTTATTGGTTTTTGTTGTCTTTGTTTGACCTCGTACATCAGGCGTATTGACCCTGATGCCTATTACCTTAATTTAACTTTTCGTAAACCAAGATCTGATAATTACATAGTTATGAGGTATTTTAGTGCTCTTGATGTTATTTTATCTGGAACAACCAACAGTTCACGAACTCCTTTTTAATAATAATTCTTTTAGACATATCATGTACACTCCTGTTACTGAACAAGAGTTCCTTGAAAACCTTCATGAATTAAATCATAAAATGAATTTCTCGTCAGAGCAATCTATGGTGGATTACAAATCATTTAACGATGTTAGTGTACTTCTAAAAAAGTTGAGAATTAAGGTAGGTATATCTTTGCAAATGTATATGATTTATTTGTTGATTGCATATACTTCAATTTAGTTATTTATCTAGACCCAAGATAGTCATCTCTTAACTACAAAGCACCAGCTCCGGACTGTCCTCAGTCTGCATCAGTTTATCCAGATAACTAGTCTAAATACCCCTTATCCAATATAAAAGTTTTAATTTTTTTGGTTATACTGCACTAATTAAGTGAAATCAAAGCACTAAGGAGGTATATATGTTACGACAATTTCCCGCATGATTTAGGCGAATTTAAATATGCCTACTTACTTACAAAATCAGTAGTTCAACGTGATATTAAGGATTTATTCATTTGAGGTCTTTTCTTATTTCTAAGGTTACTACTGATTCTCTGAAATATTGAAAATTTTTCACTCAATAAACATCAATTCTTGTCAATTGCGACAATTAATGATAGTTGGACGTCTGAAATATAGATCCTGTTCACCTAGTCTACTTACCTACCTACCTCAGTCAGCTACAACGTATGACCAGGCATATATATGCATCAGTCCAGGTTGCCATACCTCATTAGCACAACAAGATGAACACCAAGTTTATAGAAGTAGTTACTTCAATGGTAGTAATGTATAAAAGAAAGATTTTGTATAAGGATATAATGCAGGAAGAAAGAATTAGTTCGTAGAAATAAAGTAATTTTAATCTCATGGTTTAAGGGAAGACAAAGAGTGTATACACCGACACCATTGTGATAAATTCTGAGCTATGTCACCTAGAGTTTCCAACGACTGGTTACGATAGTCGCGCGGACCCCAACCAAATAGTCTGCACTTACCAACATGGCTCAGATCGGAGGTTAGTGACTTCAAGAGCTGATGCCACGTTTTAGTTTGGCCGCCCCTAACTTTCTTCCACCCGTCTCCAACACTAGTCAGCATTGCACGTCGTGGTAATCGGTGTTCAGGCGCACGTAACACATGACCCAACCATCTTAGTCGATGAAGACTCACAACCTAACCGAACGATTTACTAGCAGTCCCTGGTACCCTTCGTCTAACCCCACTATTACTTACCCTACCCGGTGATCCCAGCAAATGCGAGCAACATCTGTGACCAGATACCAGTCACTTACGAGTATCTTCTACCCTTAATGGCCGCATTTCATAACCGTAAGGTAAAACAGAACGGACTGTTGCGCAATATACTCGTCCCTTAATTGATAGGCGGATATCTTGTTTCGCCATAGGTGACGTAAGTTTCTAAAAGCCAAACGAGCTTTTTGAATCCCTGAAGAGATTTCGTCAGACACCAACCCATTAGAGCTGATCAAACTTCCAAAATAAGTGGTGTCAACGCGTTTGACTGCTTCTTTTCCTATCCTTAGTTCAGGTGTTGATGCGGGCCAATCCTGAAGCAACAACTTGTATTTAGGGGGGGGGGGAGAAATGCACCCCAGACATCGTGGCATTGTTGCTCAGTGCTACCAAAAGACTGCACTTTATTAGCATTTCCACCAAACTGGACTATGTCATCTGCGTATTCTAAGTCGATAGCTGGACGTCCTGGTAGGAGATCAATGCCCGAAAACTCAGTCAATGACAGCGTTATTTCCATCAGTAGGTCTATGGCGAAGTTAAACAAAAATGGAGGAAGTGGACAGCGTTACCGGACACCACTTGAGGTTACAAAAGCAGATGACAGTTCGCCATAAGCTCTAACTCGACTGGTAATGTTCGAGTAAAGAGCCTGCATAATGTTTATTTACTTCTGAGGTACGCCTTTCAATGACAGACACTGCCACAAAATCTCGCGATCTACAGAGTCAAGTGTTGTTTTTAAGTCAAGAAAGACCACCATTGTCGGATACCAGTAAGCACGTCTGTGTGCTAGAACCTGACGAATGGTGAATATGTGGTTGATGCAGCCACGACCAGGTCTGAAACCAAAATGATTTCCTCGTGTTTGCAGTTCACGAGTCTTAGTCAGGCGTCCGATACTTATTGAGACTAGTATTTTAGATGCTATACTAGTCAAACTATTCCATCTGTAGTTTTCACAAGATGATTTTGACCCCTTATATATTGGGACAATCAGTGGTTGCAATCAGTCCGATGGGATTGCGTCCAACTCCCAGATTTTATCTAAAATACTAGTCAACCTAATCGCTAAAATTGGACCACCATCTGGACCAGCTTCTCTTCCTCGTTTCAGACTAGCTTTAGCCTTTTGGACTTCGACTAGAGTCGGGGGGCCTACTTTAATGTTCCATTTACACTCTGGGAACTATGGGTAGTTGTAGAGTAGCTGAAGGCCAGCTGAACTGCTCCTTAAAGTTTTCCACCCATCGTTCTAAAGGTCTGGACTGGGAGCAGATAAGAGTGTTGTCGTTTTCCGTGATTGTCTCACACTTGACTTCTTAATTTCAGTTTCTTTTATTTGTCTGTAGAGCTGTCTTGTGTTACCTACAGCCGCCTTATTTTCCATCTTTTTTGCTTTTGTTGCCCACCACTGCTCACGGTCGTTCCGCAGACTTTTTGTTAACCTGGATCTGATTTGTTTTTGCTCTTCATCGTGTTTGGAACCTGATGGGCTGAGTTTACAAGAGTCTATCAGCGCAATAGATGTAACGGAAATCCACTGATTTTTCGTGACCATTTGGTTCAAATCACTAACAGATGTCACTGCTGTTTCCACAGCTGTTCGTATATTTTTCCAAACAACATCTGAGTCAGCCTCGTTTTCAGAACTGCCTAAGTGTGGTCTCAGTTGTTCTTGGAATCTACTTTTGGCTTTAATGGGTCTCCTTAATGTGGTTTTCCTGCGTCCATAGAGGTGCAAGCATATGTGTGCTCATATTAGAGCATGATCGGCGTCCAAACAAGTATTCGAGAACGAACTACAGTCTTCTATTGAGCCTCTCCAACGATGACTGATGGCAATATGGTCTATTTGAGTCCATCGTTGGTTTGGTGTAGGGGGTCGCCATGTTAGACGATGTCTCTCCTTATGCTTAAAATTTGTGTTTGCTAAAAATAAACGATTGTCTGAGCACAGTTGCAGCAGACGATCACCATTATCTGTTTGTTGTGCCGGAATACTAAAATACCCACCTAAATGCCTTTCTTTTTGGTTTAAACTACCTATCTGGGCATTAAAGTCACCTGCTACGAGTGCTATGTCTGAACGTTTAGCTTTCTGAAGAAGCTCAGATAGCTTTCTGTAAAACTCATCTTTCATTTCATCTGGGCTTCAGTCGGTGGGAGCGCAGTCAGAAACGACAAAAAGGCAACGACGTGTGTCCCTATCCTTCTGAGTTCTTATGGAGCCATTTGCTCGAACAGCACATAAACGACTGTTAATGGGGATCCACTCTAACATTGCTTGTTCCGCCGTCATGCTTAGTGCTATCCCTACTCCTGCCAGTCCACGAGAGCTGGCCGTCGGGTCACCAGATACATGGAGGGTGTATCTCGTTGGCTCTCCGTTTTGGCGAGGTGAGGTTAACTGAATGACCACACTAGGATCCTGTATGCGTGTTTCAGAGACACAGCATACATCAATGGTAATAAATTCTAGGGTTTTAGCCAAGGAGTTCTGCTGGCCGATTTGACATAGGTTGCGTACGTTGAAGGATCCAATGTATAGTTTGGAGCGAGGTTTCAGTAGACCTGGGACAGTGTTTTGCACACTAGAATCGTTGGCTATGGTGACACTTGAGGAGGAAGCCGAAAGAGGAAGTTTAGAGGTGAAAGCCGATGTAGGAGGAATAATAGGAATTGAAGAGGGAGGTTGATTACGAATACAGTGGTCTTGAGTGCCGTTAGAGGTATGAGGGCGGTTATCACTTCCCGGTTGCCCATACCGTGGAAGGGTTCTTCTGGAGGTAACTGAAAAGGAAATTGGATTAGAGGTGGTATTAGTGACCTGAGGGCGTGACCTCAGTACCCAAGGGACAACTGCTTGGGGTCGGTCAAACACGACCTTTTTGTGAGTAATTGTCGGGTTATCTCCGTACTTGTTGAGACATTACCGCAGGAGACGGATATCCATGGGATAAGGCTAGGTGTGTAGTTTTAAAGTCGACGTTTTGTAAACCCACCCTTCCTTGTGGGAAGGCAGCATTGCTGTTATGTTTTTTTGAAGGAAACACCTTACTGCCGTCACTCCTCTGTACAGTTAGCAGTACGACGTCGCCCTCAAACCTTGGGTTTACTGCTTTTAGTCTTGCTGCTCTTCAACCGACCTATCTGGCGTGTTAGGAACTTGAGGAACGATTGTTTCAGCCAATATAGGTTGGTTGATTCGTCACGATAGGCAATCTCGACCACCACGTCAAGGTAGCAGCAACGGTCGGGCCTACCTACTTCAAATAACAACTGTCTATTTGTCTTCATATGTAGTAGTCATCCATAAATTTTATATTCTGTTCACTGCTGCTATCAGTTATTACGTTATTTTATTTCAATTTAACTTTAGGCTGTTACAAAAATCCGGGAATTTCTGTTGGGTAAAATATACTCCTTACGTAAGCCACTTACAAATTATCAAGTTCCTCAAAACCAAATGCTGAAATTTCGGTAAGTATTTCAGGTGTGATATGTTTTTAGTTGAAGTCTCGAGTTATCAACAAATAATAAGTATTAATTACGTATAGCATGCATAAAATGTTGATGGTTAAATCAAACTGTCTATTGATTATTTGACAACAGAAAGGAATTTTTGTAGACGTAGTGTCGTCAAACACCATGTATACTTTTGACCCTCTAGATATTCCTTTAAATTATCATGACGTTGGTACTTCTGTTAGTACGTTCATCGTTGAGGTAATATATTTTTTGTATGAAACCTAATATCAAAGCAAATTGCTTTCTAATGCCAATCGAATGATACGCTCTATCAAATTGACTAGCACATTACTTCGTAAGAGCGTACATTTATGTTGTCGAAAAACGCATATGCAAACCAGTTCATATATTTCGGATTGTCAGTCAATACAGGTGACAAAAATTAATCATTGATTTTGGTTGGGGCTGCTTATGTTTATTTGTCAACTGTTTCATTTTATTAACCATACCAAACGATGTCTACTGCGTAACATAAGGGGTTCAACTCAACTTGTGTGGCGCATATATATTTGATGCTTCCTTGTACCAATATTTATGTGCTCAAATAAAATAAATAATAAATAACAACTCAATTACTTGATCACAGGTTTGGACCATGTTTCACTTCAGTTTTATCAGCTGAGCAGAATAATTAGTTCGTACACAAAGAATGTGATTCAAAGCCGAGTACAAAAAACAGCTCTTGGTTATTCAACATTTCCACAAGTCTTTCTTATTACACCAAACCCTCCGAAAAACAAACAATATGTCCCTAGAATGAGTTTTAAGAGGTCAAGGGCGTCTTACGCTCTTCGAAGCCATTTAAAAGCATAATTCGTTTCATTTAGGTTGAATATTACTTACTACAGATTAACGATACGAACAGTCCCATTTAATAGCTAGAAGAATTATCCTAGAGCGAAATATTATTTTCGAAGTGATAGTTGTTTCACCATTCCAGTTGCAGCATGGATCTGTTGAAAATAATTTGTGTTATTGCGGATCACATTATTGCCGTTCTATGTGTTTCGAGACATGAACAATCAATTTAGAACTGGTATATACTTTTGCTTTTGTAATTTAATCGGTCTGTTTGTGAGTAAATGTTACGTCAAGATTCAATTGTTTTCAATCTGACTGACCTGAGTTAAATTATACAAGTTGAAGAAATGTAGAATTTAAGGGTGATAGTAACATAAGAAACTTATTTTTGAAGTGCGAAAATTCCGACATGTGTTGCTACCTGATGCATATAACTGGTTATATTTTTCAAGTCATATTTCAACATTTCTATTGGTGTTTTCTTCCTTTGTATCCAGATTTTACAATTCGTTCCTCTTAGCTCATGATCGAGAGATAGCTAAAGAAGTTAGGGTGGAGTATATCAATACGATGAGTAAAGTTTACTACGCCTATTTTAAGGCTTACGGTGGTAAATTAACCAAATTACAAGTTAGTCACTAAGTTTTACTAAAGCTTAACTTCATACATTTGTAATTCCGTTCTACTTTATTATTTTTCATGGAAAAATGTATCGTTTCAAATTTTGTGCCTTAAATGACGGGTTTGCCTCAGTAATATTTTTGTCTTAGTTGTAGTTAACACCAGTATAATAGTGCTTAATGATAATCTAGTTTATTGTATGTTCTTATGAAAGGAAAAAAATAGTACATCATGATCAGTGTGTATCTGATTTTAACAAATTATATTGAGATTATTAAATATTTATCTGATTTAAAGTACTAGGTTAATTAATTGGGTGGTATCAGCGTTTACAACTATACAAAAGAATATATCGTTATAAAGATAATTTGTAAGCGGAGAAGGTATAAATTGTTTGGAAAAGAAAATCAGATACGCGCGTTTCTTAAATAAACCTAAATTTATATACAAATAGTATGAGTAGTATGTTTAAATCCCCCTTTTTTAATCGGAACCGTCTCTCACGCACAAAAAATCTTTCGTCCAATATGCAGTGAATATACGTCTTCATAATAGTAAGTTATTATTTGAATTGTAAATAATTCTCTTGTTCAATGTAACTCAGAAATCAGTAAGAAATGCACTCAACTGCCAATAATAATAATAATAGTAATAATAATAATAATAATAATAATAATTATTATTATTATTATTATTATTATATCCTAGTGAAGATTAAATTGTGGGTAACTTCTGAGAACCATTAATGGACTAATATATATTCTTATTGTGCAACTATTTAGTAACTAGATTGTGTATATCTATATTCCTTTTATTATAAGCTTTATTTTGACCTATGGACTATTATGATACGGTTTACTATTCTTAAATTATACTTAGTTTGTTGATTACAGTCTCGCACGATCACAGCCACTTTTTGGCTTGATCTTGTACAAATGTTATTTTCTGTTTTATGATGTGATGTGGGCCGTTTGACCTGTATATATACCAGGTATGTTTGAGATAACTGGTTCGTATAGTAGAAGCTATTATTGATATTCTGGACTCAACTGGCAGGGCTAGGATGGAAAAGGACCAATAAAGACGCTGGGCTGCTCATACTGGTCGAACGTCGTTGGTTTGGCACAGTGCTAAGATTGTATGAGTCGTATTCTGATTGGCGAATAAGTCACATGGTAATTAGCCAGGCTTAAAGTCACAACAATTACCACGTACAATCACGTGGTTACAATCTCAGTAATCAACCTACGAAACCCATCTCTGTAGATTCCATCTAATTAAATTTTGCATGATTTATAATTTTTCATGTTACAATTCTGTTCTCTTTTCTTTCGTTAATGTAGCTTGATACAACTTATGAAAAAGATGATTTATTAGGGAAAAATCCAGATAAATACAATTCTGCATCATCTACATCCAGTCTGATGTTCAATTCAATTACTAATGTTACTAATAATCCAACCGTATCAGTGTCTTCTAATTCTGGAACACGTGTTGGACTTTTTGGATTAAGTGATCGTGCACTTCGTGTACTTGGTAAATCGAATCTAGAAAGTGCTGTTATTTTACCACATGTGGCCAGCAACGTGGATGCTAAAGTAAATGAATCAGTATAATTTTCTGATTTCTTGATTTTGAATATGCTAATACATTTCCATAATCAAAAAGGTACAAGTATTTATAAACAGTTGTCTACGCAAGATACTCAATATCCGTTGGCCGATTACCATCCGTAGTAGCCTACTGTGGGAGAGATCAAATCAGTTCCTATCTGAAGAGGAAATTAGGGAAAGACTCTGGAAGTGGATAGGACATACATTACAGAAATCATCAAACTGCATGAAGAGGCAAGACCAAACTTGGAATCCTGAAGGGAAACGGAAAAGTGTAAGACCAAAGAATTATAGCAACTCTCCTACAACCGATTTCGATTATAGTTAATTTTGGCTAAGCCTTTTTACTAACTTACTTAACAGATAATGTTATTCTGATGCTAAAAGTTCGTCTATTTCTTTGTACTATTGTGGTCACTATCATGTCTGTATAAACATGTACGCTTGAGCACATGTGGCAGCTTACTCACATATCTCTAACTAAACTGTTAATACCTTAAATATCGCTCTATAAGTCATTCTCTTTCCCATATATATATGTACTCGAATCCTATTATTAACCTTTGCTTTGCCTTGCTGTGCACTTATGTGATTTGACCATAAATTCGCCTTTGTGTTCTCTCGTACACTCATTAACTTCTCTGCTCGGAGTCGCTCCATCTGCTTGTAATTTTGTTGTCTGTGCTATCCGCTAATAAACTAGTCGCCGCTTCTTATTGACTGATTAACGCGGCTGAGCCACTACAAATGCTGGCAGGCAACCTATACTCCTTCACGAGGGGTACACAAGCGTAAGCAAGCAAGTAAATAATACACTTCCACCTTAGTTTTCCAAAAGAAAATACTGAAATATGGGTTGAAATAAATTCACAGTCATACTGATTACGAGTTTGCATTTTGTTGTCTCTGCTCTGTTGGGATTAATATTAAGCACATCAGAACTTTCACAACGGTCTCATCTGAAGTTAATATTCATAATTTGTTGTGTGATTATTATTATTGTATTTTTATGTCCCCGTGCCTGTAAGCTTTTGTTTGACACATAAACTATTGTTGCATGTTTTCCCTTCCCAAGTTATTGTTAATTTGTTACGGACTTATCACTCAGTCTTCTTCCTTTTACTACGTAGTTATTACCCATATCATGATTTCTTAATTATGTTGATATGTAGTCCGGCCTTTATTTTATTGTATGCAAATTGGAACTTTTTAATTAGAAGTTACTTGCTTAATAAATTGTGTTCTATTCTAACTATCGAGGAAGCGGGCGTGGAAAACTATTCTGGGCCGATTTTCGCCAGATATTTCTCTTAGTTCTTTCATTATCATCATGTCATTTGTTAGCCAGTCATCAGTACTAGATGGACAGTCTAGGCTAACTAATTAATACTCGGATTAGATGGGTATAACTGCTCTGCTGTATTACGGTTCGGTCATCCAGGGCCTCAAAAATAGCGAACAGGAAATCTATTTATTTTTTTCGTCACATCAGTTTCTGAAATTGAAACTTACCTGTTTTAATTTGTACTTCAGTGACTGATATTAAAGCTCTCACACGGAGTATGGTATAAGGATTTTCGTAGAGGACTGGAATCAATTCTCACTAACCTAATACTAAACTTGGAAGGATGTTAGGGTCTTGAGAATAAAACTTTATTATTGACTTCAAGTTCATTTCTGTTGACTTTTCAAGAAGAGTTGCCAAAATTAGCGACAAGTCATTCAGACGTGATTGTTAAACTATTCTTGTTTTGAACGCTAAGTAGTTTTCATAAGGATTTCCCGCAATAATTTAGGACAGTATCTTTTGATTTTAAATAACGACCCGCAGTAGACATTTATCACTATATAGTCTTGAAGGTTTTTTTCTGTTGTATAGAGTTTAGTGATCAGTTTATATAAGATTTTACTTTTGTTTTACTTTCCAAACCCTTTATTTCCCATGTAGTACCCTATTGAAGTTTTATTTCGTTCCATTCACTACGCGCTTCTGGATACTGCATGTCGAGAATATTATTTTCTGTCAGATTTCTTCCTTCTTAGCACGGAAACTGAGTCTGTTGATTCACCACCATCTTGTGATCAAAGTACACCCAATCAAGGTCGAACTCAAAGTGGTGTAGCCTTAGCTCATTTATTCGAGCAAGTTATGAATCGTAGTTTAAGTTGGATACATAAATTTACTGGGACTTTCATGATTTCTTCTTGTTCTCATGATGCAATCGGTTTATTAATTTGTCTCCAGCTTTTACATGCTTTGCTTCGTCTGGCTAAAGAGAGAGGGGTACCTGTGTTGGATGAGTAAGTTTTAAAGATTATGCATTTATTTTTTTCGCAGTTCTAAATCAGTTTTTACACCATACATTTCGTAAAATTTCTCTGTCTTGATTCTCATATCGCCTAAATTCAGTGTGATAGTATTCTCTTATATTTAAATGGAGGTATCCGTTTGCGAAACTGCGATCAGTTTTAGGATATGCTAAGTGTATCTTTCAACCAATGATTTATTAAATATGAAGCATAAAAACTAGGGACTCAACAACTCCACTACGCAGCAGTCATTTATCTCATGAATGACTTCCCTTTATTGATTATTTCATTCATCCCTGCCCGTGTTTCTTTTCGAGATAACTAAGACTTGATCTTCAGATACACAGTCCTGTAGTCTCGTTGGTTTCCTCAGATGTTGGTCTTGTGTGAATTTAAGAAAGTTGGTGGTGGTTACCTCAAACGATGAAAATGCTGCAAAAACACGATAAAATATGTTTGGCCTACCGATAACATCCGTTTTGGGTAGCTGTATGTAACATTTGTAGAAGTAGGTGTCAATGCCAATCTTAGATTTGATAGTTTCAAATGGAGCCTTGGTTATCAACTTAATAACGAATATATTTTGTTGTACTAATTATGCTTGTGCTAATTTTATTTCGGTTATTTATTTACTCTGAAGAAGTGACTTACATTAAGTCACGTAACACCAAAAATACAATTTTCTACTCATTGGGATATCACGAAAAAAATTTTTTTATTAGTCGTAGACGTTTTCACCAAGTTTCTGTTGGTAAGCAACTGGATATCTCTCTCACTTCGTAAATGCTATGGGTTGGGTAATGTAAAATGGCGTATATGTTTCGATATAAAAAATTCAGCTTAGATGGGATTGTTTGTGTGTTCATAATTATATGTTACCGAATTAACCTTCACTTGAAATGAGATGGTAAGCAATGGGGACTATTAATCAAATTAGTTACCCAAAAACCTCTGAGGACAAGTATGTGAAAATTACATTTAGAATGTGGAAAAACATACATAAATGATTCAGAGACCAAATATTTCTCTTTCGTTCACTATTCGAATTAATTCCACTTCTTTGGACTAAACGTGTCTAGGTTTTTGATCGGTCGAGTTCAGTAATGAAGGTATAATCCTAAAAACTCAAGTAAACGTTTGGATTAAATTTTTGGATAATTTTCAGATGTTTTGTGTTTATCAATGTAAAATCAACAGTAAAATCTAATTCCCGTAGAATATCTGATATTTATATTGTACATTTGATTCCTCTTAGATAATTGACTTTTGTGCCATTTTGCTCATTTAATAGTTTTTGGGGTAAAATGACTGAGACTTTGTGGGTACGTGTTACTGATAGACTGGATGTACATATAGCATCCATGCTGCAGTATTTGGATGTCAGCAGTTTTAGTACAGATGCTCGTGATATTATGAAGTCCAATTTATCCACCCTAAATGTCAATATACCTACAAATGCTACCGGAAATACCACTGTCAGTTTACACCCTAAAATGTATGCTCTTATTCGTCCTCATTGGATAGCCAGACGTTATGCTGAATTAGCTGCTAGCCTACATTCAATCGGACATCAATTCCCTGGTAGTAAGTGTGCTCTTATTGGTAGTGTTATTAATATTCAGAAACTTAGCTTCTTTTATTCCTCAAACTTATCGTTTTGTTTACCTTAGAACAAGTGTTTTGTTCTACCTTTTTTTTCAGGAGTTAAAAGAAATCTTTACATAGGTGTTACGATAATAAAACCACAGTGATAAAAATCATTCCTTTCTACGTCACTGTCCAACTTATTTCTCATCTCTTTCGTTCCGTTTCAAATCCATTTCTAACCATGTAGCTGCGGAGATGAGTTAAATGGCTCCCTGTTGTCGAACTATACACTACTCCCATAGAAATCTACTCACGGTGTTGAACTCATAAGTTCAATATTTATATTATACATCACAGATTAAGGAGTTTAGTAGTATCGATGCTTTTAAGTAGAAGGTGTTATTTATAATTCTTTAATCGAATTGTTACTGACTTGTGGTTTGTTACAAACTTAAATCTCTAACTAGACATTGTTTAAAGATATGTAGCGTTAGGATAGAATATGGATGTACTAACTTGTAAACTTGTTTTTAAATACGATTTGAGAAATGTTGTTTATTATTCGATTATTTGTTTGTTATCTGTACATCTAGAACAAATAGGGTAAACTAATAAAAACCAACTTATTGTCGATTTAGCTTTTTTACAACTGTTATTCGTTGTAATGAAACTGAAACGTTAGCCATCAATACATACAGTGGCCTGCTTAAACATTTGACATATTTATTTTCTAACCGTGCAAATATTGCAAATGAACTGCTTATTTGTTCGGATTGAATAATTAAAAATGGCAACTATACGTTCTCACATTGTACCATAAGAGGATTACAAACTTGTGATACTAAGTACTGAAAAACTCAAACAGAAACACTACAGTTCTTGCTTTATTTCTCTTTTTATCTATCCTTTGACAAACAAGACACAAATGTATTTATAAACAAACACCCTGTAGCAGCTTTGCTGATTGAACAGGGTTGAAAGATACTAACTATATAAAACATTTTTAAAATGTGGTTCGAACAATTTCAATTTGAATGTGCGTTGAATAAATATTTGTCGTAACATTATACAATTGATGCTGAGGAATCTTTACTGTACCAAAACTTATAGTATTGAATATGACTATTATTACTAATTAGTTATCTAATTTTGGTATCAACCGTTTCTATATACGTTTAACAGACCATACAACAATTTGTATCATCTAATTAATCATAAGTACGTTTTTCCAAATATTGTGGATTAGTGGCTAAAAACCTTAACTTCCAACCCTTCGACCACATATCCAAACCCCTTTCTACCTATTTCAGCAATTCGCTAGTTGTCACAAAAAGTGAACCTCATAGCTGAGCATATATATATATGCCGACAGTACACATGATTTTCATTATTCTTGCATAGGTTATTCCTGTTATGACGTAGAAATGCATGAGTATGTTTCTGCTGTTTAAAAAGTTAATTGTAAATTTTTCTGTAAAATTTCATTTTACTCCACAGCTCCACTTTTTGATGACAGTATGAGTAAATCTAAGAGTTCAGAGAGTTCAAATTTACAGTACTCTTTACACAATGAACCAACATTTCAACAAAATCTTGCAAATTTGAAGCCTGCTTTAGACCCTCGTATCCTCAGTCGTTTGGCTCAATTGCAAAATCAATTTGAACATGTACTGAATTCTCTAGCCAAAACATTTTCACGTCCAAAATTAGCACACATATTTCTAATCAACAATTATGATTTGGTTATAAGTGTACTAACTGTAAGTTATATAGATGTGCATAAAACTTTAAATTATTGGTTCTTATCTATATTCATTTGTTTCATTTGCTTGTTTGAACGCTTTATTTATTGTGTAGGAACATGGAGCTGCTGATTCTTCCGAGGTTATTCGATGTCGTGAAGCTGTAGCGAAGCATATGACATCATATATCGATGAAGCCTTGTCACCTTATTTTGGTTGTCTGATATCTTTTGTTCGCGATGTCGAAGCCAGATCAACTAGTGAAAGTCATCATCTGTCGAAAAATCAAGACGAAGTGACCCAAAATATTCGTAGTGAGGAAGGTATTATACTGCCATTCATTGTTAAAATAACATTATCTATGGTTATCGTGGTATCTATGTACTTTAAAGAATCTTTCTGGATTCTAGATTTTCTTTCAACTCTATTAAATCTCTCTGAGACAAAATTTATAATCATAGGCTGTCTTAGATATTATTTTGCTCGACTGCATATAGAAACTAAAGTTGGCCGTTTAAAATTCTGGATCACTCTAGCTGTAAATAGCAGTATATTATCGCATGTTTCTAATTTGTTACTCAGAGATTAAAAATAATGATAAAGTAAACTATTGTGTCTCCTAAATTGCATGCATTTTTTATTCACTATTCTTTTTTGACTTCATCATCAACTGTGAGAATGATTCTGTAATTAGTATTAACATGAATGTAAATGAAGTGGTGAAGTGTAAATTGATGAAATTATTCAAATATTAAGGAACAGTCTGTAGATCTTAATAAATCTTGTTTTATGTAAGGATTAACTGGTAAGTTTTCTTGTGCGTTCTTTATCATCCAATTTCTCTCACTTAGTAACACTTATATATGAGATTTGTGAATAGAAGATGAAAGGAAGAACGAACTCTTTCCACATTCGATAACAGAGTGATTACATGTAAAAAAGTGTGGAGTGTTAATGAATACGTTAGCAGCTTAACAGTACGGTGTCTGCAGTTATATGATACATTTTTTAATAAACCTATGTTTTCTATCCCTGCTACTTTCTTTACTTGAAGAACAGTATTAGTTATCATGTTTACATCGACGATAATTGATTTGTGGTCTTCATAGTCAAGTTATTGTAGCAGTAGAAATATATTCTTGATTCCCAGTTATCAAATTTTATTTTGCATTGTTCAAAATAATCGTAGGCATTATGGTTTAAGGACACTATGATGTCATTTGTCTTCATTCAGGTTGTTTCTTTCGAGAAATAGTGAATGCTTATGTATTTAACTTTATTGGGTTTAGTTACAAAAAATGCGTATCAAGGTAATTACTTATGGAGTTTCATTTAGGTCCCAGTAGTAAAATGTTATCCTAGGGTAATTACAGTGGTTTTACTTGTTTGACATTTTCTAATTGAAACAAACTAACTTCACTTCAATAACTTAAGTGAAATAAAGCAATTCAACTTGCAAAAGTCTTTTTCCTTCTTTGTTAAGGAACATAACAAAAATGTGACTCAATTTCTCAATAACGGATTTTAGATGAACCATAAGTGCTTAAAATAATCTTAGTCTACTACCTATCGTGGATTAATCTAATTGTTATTTGACTTCAAAGCAGGCGGTCAACGTGATTTGATGTCACAAAAATACCGCTGTACAAGCCATATATTGTCTTTGGTCCTAAATATTATCGTTCGTGTTAATGTAGTAAAGCCGACTGATAAGTTTTCAGCTAAATAGTCACTTACGCCTGTAACCCTTCGTGGAGAAGAATAAACCGCCCACCAGCATTCCCCATCTAACCCTGTCTTCGGGAATATTTTCTAGTTGTCTCCAGTTTCTATTCATCTTTCTCATGTCTGCTTCCGATTCCCAATGCAGTTTGTTCTTTGGTTTTCCACTTTTCCGTTTCCCTTCAGGAATCCAAGTTAGCGCTTGTGTCGTGATGGAGTTTGGTGATTTCCGTAATGTATATCCTATCCACTTCCAGAGTCTTTTCCTAATTTCCTCTTCAGATGGGAACTGATTTCTTCTCTGCCACAATAGGCTGTTGCTGATTGTATCCGGTGAACGGATATTGAGTATCTTGCATAAACAACTGTTTATAAATACTTGTATGTGTTTAGTGATGGCTATAGTCGTTCTCCGCGTTTCAGTTCCCTACAGTAGAACTGTCTTGACGTTCGTATTGAAGATTGTGACTGTGATATTGGTTGACAGTTGTTTTGAGTTCCATATGCTCTTCAGTTGTAGGAAAGTGACCCTTGATTTGCCAATCCTCACCTTTACGCCTGCATCTGATCCTCCTTGTTCGTTGATGATCTTTCCCAGGTACATGGAAGATCCCATCTCTTCCAGAGCTCCACTTAATGTGATTGGGTTGGTGTTCTCCGTGTTGTATTTGCGAATTTCGCTTTTTCACTTGTGTATGTTGACCCCTACTGATGTAGAGGTTGCTGCTGCACTAGTTGTCTTCATCTTCATTTTGTGTGTGTATGGGATAGAAAAGCTAGGTCATTTGCGAAGTCCCACCAAATGGTATCAATCAGTTATTTGGTTGAAGATTCATTCGGAAACATCTCTCATGATGCACCACTGAGATTCTAAATAGTGTTGTAGTTTATAGTAGTTTGAATACTTGAGGATCTTTTGAAGACTGAATTATAAACTAGTTATGTTAGTATCTTATCAAAGCATATCTTGAAATACATATATTTTTTAATTATCACTACATCAAAATGTCTTACAACCGAGAAAGATAATGTATTACACTGAACAATACTTGAGTTATTTGTATTGCTAAACAATATGGTAAACAGTGCGCTATGTTAATTTTATGGTGAATAGTGATATTTTGTAGGTTTAGTCTGCAGTTATTTCATTTTATACCTTCACACCTCTATTTCTCATCAGCTCGGGTAACACGAATAGTGAAGGGCTTCAATATTGATTGGAAGAATTCGATTGAAAAAATACATGATGAAATCATGATGGAGTTTGCCAATTTTACCTTGGGGACACAAATATTTCAGGTTAGTATTACTTTATTTTGTAAGCCTACATTTATGACTAAATTTATGATTCTCCCTTCTATTTTTGTTTGCATGTTTAATTGAGTATCTTTAAACTATTTGCATATGTGGCTGTATCAATTTATATCCCTATTTTGTGTATTCCTTTCAAAACTCCGCAAATATTTAAACATATTTGATTATCAGCCCCCGAATGCCCTGGTATAACCGAGAGTGGGGCGGGCCCGCCCCCTCTCAAAATGCTTTCACACGGCCACGCGTATACAGCCTCTGCCAGGGAAGTCCTACTCACTGCATTCTCGTGGCGGGGGTGTTGTCTACGAAAATGAGAAGACGAAAAGCGAATGTCCGGCGCTTTAACCGGATCCCAAACCAATGGTGCACATGGGCTCCAGTATCCTGTGGGAACAAATGGCGTATGAGCCAATCGTTAGTCATTGGCTATCATGTGACTGTATCTCCTCACGATGCTCCACTGTCTTGTTGGTCAGACCTCTAGGTCAAAGGCTCGGGTTGTGGCCCCCTAAGAAAACCACCTGCTTCGGTCTGGGCACCCAGGCAGTACCACAGTACCACACACAAACAGAATGAAATGACAATACTTACGGAAAATTCTATATTTGCTTCGATTAACAATCAAACGTTTCAATTTATTATTATTATTATTATTATTATTATTATTATTATTATTATTATTATTATTATTATTATTATTATTATTATTATTATTATTATTTACTACGTCATTTATCCACTCTCTTTTATTTCCGCTTTGTCTATCCTTATTTCTCGACTTATACAGCAGCTCGTCTATGGTGGAAATTCGGCTCTATCTCAACGTTCTCGAGTCACTGCCTGGTTGAAAACTGTATGTTACCACCGAATATGAGTACTGAAGCAGATTTTCTGAAACCACGTGCACCATTCAAACTGGCTGCCTTCAACGTTCGCACACTTATGCAGGTTAGACAACAGATAGGGCTGGCTATGTCTTTGGAAAGTCTTAATATTGACGTTTGTTGTCTATCCGAGACCCGTATTCAAGACTCATCCGAGCCACTGGCAACAAGAAGTCTGGTGTGAGTGAAACAATCTGCGAGGATGATGGGATGCCAATCACTAACATCCATCGAGTTCTTGGACGATGGGCAGAATTTTTCGAAGGGCAGTTCAACTGGCCTGCTGCTCCGGCAACATCGGTTAGACTGCCCTGCCCTCCATGGCCGGTGACGACTGATCCACCAGATGAGGCGGAATTCCTCAAGGAACTCCAACTCTTGAAGCGCTACAAATCACCTGGCCCAGATGACTTTCTTCCGGCCCTTTTTAAAGATGGTGGTGACTTTCTGGCAAAGGAACTGACTGTGTTGTTTACAAAGGTCTGGGAACTAGAGAGTGTTCCAACGTCATGGAATGAGTCGATAGTTGTCCCTATCTTTTTAAAGGGTTCACGTTGTTCCTGTGACAACTATCAGGAGATAAGTCTACTTCCGATTGCGTCCAAGCTATTGGCTTCCGTCATTCTTCGTAGATTGTTCAAAACCCGAGAAAGATTGACTCGCAAAGAGCAGGCTGGGTTTCGTTCTGGTCGAGGATGTATTGATCATATCTCACCCTCCTCCAAATGGTCGAACACCGTCATACTTATCAAAGACCAACAATCGTAGTGTTTCTTGACATCAGGGCTGCCTTCGATTCGTTGGACAGGACTGTTCTCTGGGATTGTCTATTGAAGAAGAGTGTGCCTGAGAAGTTTATTAACATCCTAAAAGCCTTATATACAAACACCTCAGGCAGAGTGAGGGCATACAACCACCTCTCTCCATCGTTCCATTCGAGCAGTGGGGTTAGGCAGGGTTGCCCAATCTCACCATTCCTCTTCAACTTTGCCATCGATGACATTCTGGAAACAGCTCTGATGAATGTAAGTAATGGTGGTGTGGATCTGTTGTCTGGAGAAAGACTTCTTACTGTGCGATAATGCCCAAGGCATGCAATCCGCACTTAATCAGTTGGCAATCAGTGTCCGTAGGTATGGTATGTGTTTTGCACCTTCGAAGTGCAAAGTACTTCTACAAGACTGACAGGATCCTAATCCTGTACTCACCCTGGATGGTGAGCAGATTAAAGTAGTTGGTAATTTCGTGTATCTAAGTAGCTGCATAAGTGCTGGTGGTGGCGTGAGTGATGAGACCAATTCAGGCATAGTGAGAGCCAGAGAGGCTTATGCAAATCTGGGCCACCTTTGGCGCCTTCGTGATTTTAGTCTGGCTGTAAACGTTCAGATCTACAACGCGTCGGTGAGAGCAGTTCTGCTCTATGTGTGTGAAACCTGGCCTCTCCGAGTTGAGGACGTTAGACGACTCTCTGTGTTTGATCATCGTTGTCTCCGAAGGATTGCTGACATCCAGTGGCAACACCTTGTTAGTAATACAGAGGTTCAGCATTGTGTGTTCGGGCACGGCGACGATAATTCAGTTGGTGTCACCATCTCGAAACACCAACTTCGGTGGCTTGGACATGTTCTACGAATGTCGTCCCAAAGAATTCCACGTCGTGGATTATTTGCGGACTCTGGGATTGGTTGAAAAAGGCGGAGTGGTGGTCGGTATATGACGTTGTGTCGTGGTATGAAAGGAAGCTGCAAAGAGGTGGCTTGTGTTGGTCCTTCACGACTCCTCGGCTGGGGTCCGAGAGATGGTACAATACAGTGGCTAGAGACGTTATCAGATATGGCTCAGAATAGGAGTCAGTGGCGATCCTGCTGTAACCTTCTTCTACTTTCGTCGTAAAAAGTGGTTGTATCTTCCTTAACTGAAAGATTTCTTCTGATTGTACCTTTCCGTTTCCCCCATTATTATTACTATTCTTTTATTATTATTATTATTATTATTATTATTATTGCACTACCTTACACTAGTCTGGTCGTTATTGTTCTTTTTTCCTTTACGCTCCTTACCTTTTTTTCTTTTCTTATTCTCATAGTTTTGTGTGGCTCATGTATATTTGGTTCCCTCTTGTACCAATATTCATGTGTTCAAATAAATAAATAATAATAAATCCATCATATCCTTGTACTGTAGTGTGTGCTTTCATTGTTGACTGTTCATACACTTGCGTCAGCTGTATATTCAAAGCTTACTTTCCATATATTGTGCAAATAATTTATACTTATCGATTCAATTAGAAATTTCACTACCTCATAAAATCTAGTTTCATTCTTGCAATTACCCCTGTTGATTGATACTAGATATAAAATAATTATTCACATTAGGATGATAATCACATTCTCGATTAGTAATAGATTTTGAATCTATACTTTTTGTGTTCGGTATAGTGTTAGAATCCCAGGAATCTGCGAAAATTCAAACATTCGTCTGTTGCAAGAAATTGTAAATACTTACTTTATAGGGTTTTCGTAAAAAACATTTGGGACTCACAGTGATTGTTGGCTTCGTCGAGAATCTGCACCCATTCAACGTACTGGTTTAATGAACTGTAAATTATATAATGTAATCATTTAGTTATGACCACGTATAGCTATAAGCTTCTGTAGCCTATCTGTTAAACATAATGTATGCAGTTTGGTATATAAGCGATTGTTTCTCACCTGGATCATTTGTTTAATTGGAACCTATCAGTTGGTAGCGTTGATCACACTTGTGCTACGTGTCGCTGCTGTGAGATAAACACCTATTTGATAATTTTTATAGGTCGTACCGTTTTTCATATTGATAACTTTGATGAGTATTTAAAAGATCCGCGGTACATGCAGGTGAGGACTGACTACGGAATTTTAATATCCCTTTTAAAATGTTTCAACCATAAAATCTTATTATGTTTAGTATCAATAAATTTACTCTTTTTATAGGGTTTACTTGCTCAACTTATTCAACATTACCATCGTTTTCAAAAAGTCATGACACAAAGTCCCTACAAAAATATGCCTATACGTAATCAGTTGGTAAATATACATCAGATTACAAATGAAATGAAAAAGTGTAAAACAAACTTTTCTTAAAGTTAATTGGATACATCTTGCATAACATTATCGTCATCATCATCGTCGTTTTGGTAAACATTTCAAATCATTCCATTTTGTCGTTTTGGTTCTTTTTTGTTGAATTGCATTTTAGTTATTTCGTTCTTTATCTATGTATAAAGTGTTTTTCGTGCTACTACAATGTGCTTTGATGATTTAGTTGTTGTTGATGTTGATGACTGATGAATCTTTATTTTCCAACCCCTATTCTCAAAGTATGTATTTATATGTTCTATCCTTTTTCAGCTTTGTTTACGATGTGTTTTATCATCAGTATTTTTATTTTGGAATAATAGTTTTTAATTTTTTGTTTTGTTATTTATCTTTGCTCTATATTTCCACTTATCTTGCTTTGCCCTACTATTTGTGTTTTTTTAACTGTGGTTGTGCTAGTGTAATACTTTTTGTTGAAAAAAAACTCAATGATTCAGCTGTTTGGTGTATTTCATATTGTGTACCAAATTAATGACTATTACATAGGACTATCATAAATATATAGCTTAGTAGTAAATGGTGTATGTAGGTTTCGGACCAACAAATTGTGTTGTAACATGATATTTCACAAAATTTCTTAAGTCGTACAAAACATTTCAAGAAGTCCAATACTGTCCGATGTTGTTATGTTAGTTAATTACACTAGCTTTTATGGAAATGTTTTATGACAGGCGCTTTGGTCTCCACATTACTTTACATTTTTTCTGTCCAATTCGACGAAAAATTTGTTAGATCAAAACTACACGATCCACACGTGGGACTCGGACCAAGGACCTTCGGTCTCGCGTACAAACGCTTAACCTCTAGACTACTGGCTCGTTATCCAATAGTGTTGATATCTAGCTCCAATCGATCCATGGTCCTGTGGAACCCTTCATCCATTGCCGTCTAGTGCTTCCAGCTTTTCAATACTGGTCTACTTTCGATCAGCTCGTAATTTAAATTGCGAAAATACTACAACCTCCACAAATTCTCATACTGATATTTAAGATTAACTAATAATAAAATGAGAGCGTCAAGAACTTCACTGGCCTGTTATAGTGACAATGTCTCAACAAGTGTTATGTTCTGTATACTCCTTACTAGAATGATTCAGTGTTATGACTGATAGCGCATAGTATTTTACTGTATTGGTGAAAGTAAATTGCTTTGCATGAGAACAGATAGAATCGACTGTTTTTGTCAAAGTTGATTATCATACATATGTCATAAATCGAGTCTCAAGAACCAAGAGAAACTGAAAGATGAGTTTCTTTCAAGGCAAAGCTATAAATCTTCCCGTAATTTACGTAGTAGCCTTAGTATTGTACTAAACACTTTAACTTTCTAAATAAATGGTACGAAATGAACACCATTTCCAACACAGTTAATATCAGAATCAGAAAAGTACAATTAAGATTTTTAGATTATAATCAATATATATATATATATATTAGTTAAGGTAAACCTAGTTCACAAATAAGTATAAACGTTATGTATGGACTTATATCTTGACTTAATTTGATCATCAATTTATGAGTTTTCTACTGTTCAGTTAAATAAGATTGATTTTATCAGTATGAACATTATGAATTAGGTTAAAGTTCAAATAAATATTAAACAATACTGAGTTAAAAATTCAAGAAATAATTGTTTCATGTTTAAATTTTCCTGAATGTAGGTTTAATTGCATTAAACAAATTTCTTTTAGCTATTTTAATATAAAACGATCATATTTACAATGTGAAAAATCCCCTGCGACTATAGTATACAGACGAGTCAACAACGAAGTTAAATTCACTTTCGATTCTAAAGGGATATTATAGCTAGTGAGCAGAGTTTACATAAATCAAAAATATTTCACAACAGAAATAATGAACCATATTAAAGTAAAATGGTTTATGTAACCTATATAGTAAAATATACACAGAAAGAAATGAAAAAAACTTGTTTCCAAATGTCATTTCTGCTTTATAAAGACAAGATTCCTTACAATCTTAAAATATCCAGGAAATAATACACAGCTGTTCTGAGATGGTGTAGAAGATTTGTAACTCAGATGAGTGATTTTGGTGGAGTTTTGTTCTCTGAGCTAGAATGGTTTGGTCGTGGAGCTTTTTTTGTTCTTCTGAACGACATCGTCAGCATAAACTTCAGATAGAAGTGAAGTGCTCGAATTCCTCCACATATGACTCACAGTTTGTCCTGTGAAACCCGATCTTGATTGGCTTTCTTGACCTGTAAGCTGTCATTGTTCATTTCTTTATTTTGATTGTATCCCCCGTTGATTTGATTCTTGGTCCTATATTTGTCCATGATTTTTCTGATTGGTTGATAGATTAGATCGATTTTAATATGTTTATTGATCACTGATCGACCTGAATCTCAAGTTCCTTAAAATTCTCTGGTGTTTTTAGTATTCCATCTATCCAAGATCTCAACAATGATACAGAGACTGGAAGCCTGAATCTTACCAGCGATCAAACCAAAAATTAGGATTTGTTATGTGAACGACATATTTGTCAGTGTCAAAAAGGACGAGCTATAATCTGACTAACAACTTCGATGACATAAAGTTCACAATCGAACAGAAGTCGAACAATGAACTATCATTCTTGGATATACTAATCACTAGAACCAACACAGAGAAACTGGAGACTCACGTGTATCGAAAGCTCCACGACCAAACTATCTAGCTCAGAGAACAAAACACAGCTGTTTATACTGAATATTTTCTTGCGATGCGTAGTGAGAACACAACCACTGCTGATATAGATTTATTTAACTTTAGAAAGAAATCAAATTGATACCTGAATATACTAACTCATGATTAGTTTTACAGTTAGGCTAACAATCAGATTGGTATAATTTGAACTTAGCAGTGCTGAAACACTGAATATTACTTAAATCAGAGTAAAAATGTACTAAATAGGTATTCATGCTCTATTTTTGTGTTTAATATTCAATATTGATCAGATTGTGATAATACAATACAATCGGAAAGCATTTCACCGAAATCTTTTGTTCGATCGATCAGGAACTGTTTCGGTGTTACATTTCTGAATGAGATCCACAGAATGCCATATTTATTCCTCATTGTTAACAGCCGTATCAGTAGTCTTTATGTGATTATCGACCAATTTATTTATTGATACTACCAACAGAGGATTAATCGATCTGATCCAAGAGTGTTCAACATATAAATAGAATAATCTCATTCTTTATACTCTCACTAGGCTTCATCTAATAATCTGAACATTTATTCAAATTTCAATTGTTATTAGGATTATTGACTAATATATTTTTTAAATACTTGATGAGTTTACGAAATGTATTTACTCCATAAATATCCAAAACATCGTTTACCACACAGAAACATATTTTTACGTCACATTGATTTGTTTGTCGAAAGTTGTTTAAATATAGCGAATGGGAGAAGTGAGGTTGAATATGAGGGGAGTGATTATTAATGGTTCATGTGTATGAATTGTTTGAATAATATGTTATTGTAAATTTGTTCAACACCAACTGTTTGTTTACATGCTTAATTGACAATTGTTATCTATTTGTTCTTAATTATTGTTTTATTTGAGTAAAGAGAACTAGAGTGAGACTTCGCCCTCATTTTGGCAATATGTCTTGTTAGTTTAATGTGTATGAACTCAATTATACATGTATATGATGTATGATAAATAAGTTTGTGATCAATAGTGGTCTGCATATATATATATATATATATATATATATATATATATATATATATATATATATATATATATATATATATATATACATGAATTTATTTATTCATATATATTGTTGATAGAAATACGATGTAAGGGAGGATAACTAAACTTGTTTTATTTAATATAAAGGATTATTGCGTGCAGTTGATCAATGTTACATGTTTCTTTGCTTATTCATTATTCAGTAATTCAGAGAATTTCCAATATATGTTAGTGATGTTATGAAAGAATGAATGGTTGAAAGTCAAAGTAATCTCTATCTTAAGAAAGTTATTTTAATGAGTGTTAATATGCAGGTGGTCAATGGAAAATCGGTGTATTTGAAGTACATTACCGAGATAAGATAAAAGAGATTAGAAATTGTCCCCAGTAATATTTATTTGAGACTTTGTGATGTTAAATCAGTTTTTATTGCTAACCCAATGGTTATTTGCACATTTTATTTCTGAAACGTAATTGAAATGACATTTTCAAAAGAGTAAAATTTAGTCTGCGTGGAAGCAGCTCAGCAGGATACTTCACATATGTATTTGCATATGAATTTATATCAGAAGAGGTTCTGTGGAGATCCATATCAGCAGTGTTTGTGTTCTCAGGACACAAAGTCAGTTTCGATGTTTCAGTTCCGGGCCTAAATCAATTAAGCGATTGTGAACATAGTAGTGCGATCATAGTTTAATTTTACTACTGATCTACTGTTGATACCTAAAAGCTTATTCATGTTTCTTTTGCCGCCTATGTGATGCAAAGCGAAAAATGTAGAGAGATGTTTTTTCCAGCTGAAACATTTCCCAAGTTGCAGAATCGTGTTTGAGTGTTACATTTTGTTACCAAATTTCAATGATGTGACGTATGTGGATATTTCAATGGTTAAGATCATGAGTCAGTTGAAGCTAGACCATCATGAAAAACCTGGAAGCACTGGACGGCCGTTTCGTCCTATTGTGGGACTCCTCAGCAGTGCGCATCCACGACCTCGCCCCCTGCCAGACTCGAACCTAGGACCTACTGGTTTCGCGCCCGAGCACTTAACCACTAGACCACTGAGCCGGCATCCAGCGGTGTTAATGTCTAACTTCAACTAATCCACGAAATTGAGCGACACATTCGTGGATTAGTTGAAGTTAGACATTAACACCGTTGGATGCCGGCTCAGTGGTCTAGTGGTTAAGTGCTCGGGCGCGAAACCAGTAGGTCCTAGGTTCGAGTCTGGCAGGGGGCGAGGTCGTGGATGCGCACTGCTGAGGAGTCCCACAATAGGACGAAACGGCCGTCCAGTGCTTCCAGGTTTTTCATGGTGGTCTAGCTTCAACTGACTCATGATCTTAACCATTGAAATTACTACAGTCTCCACAAAAACCCATCTGGTATGTGGATATACTTATTTATGGATATTCAGTTTATTTATTTAGTGATTCTTCAAACACATGTTATTGTAGAGCAGTGTTGTAGATGAAGCTATTCAAACTACCATTAAATCATTGTTACTGAGATACATGAAACATGTTCACTGAAGAATTATTCCATCATGAAATATTATTTGGTTGGAAACTCACCCTTGAATGTTCAGTATATGGTCTTTCGGTTTGACCTTCTTAGTTTTCATCCCTCAGCTTAAGAGATATTATCTCAAGTAATGCTAGCTATTATCATACATACAAAAGAATGTTGTGGGATAATATGACCAGGAG